AGAGAATGGCGAGGTACAAATGACTGAATAAAAATAACCAGCCAGCCTACACAGCAAAAAGTAGAATGCTCAAGTCTTCCCCACATGGGCACAGCTAAGTCCATATTTGCAAGACTAGGGAGAGTGTCAAGAAAGGAACAGGGAAAAACAGAGCTGATGTATCTTATAAAAGCCATCTTCTTCATGGTTGTTATAGTGGTGCTTATGTAGCAATATTTTAATCTTAATTAAAAGGTCGATTGAAAGGCAACCATTAGCTAACTAAGTGTGGGTAGTTTCTGGAGATGGAATAAAATCACACAGGTAGCATGCAAATGACTAAAGGGTCACAAACAATGAATCAGACAATCTCAAGACCTTGCTAATTGCACCTGATGTGATTAAGTGCCAGCTTTTGAAACAATCAGTCCGTGAACCCCACAGCCGCCCTGATCAGGAACTAGGAGGACGGTGGGGCGGGGCCCACACTCACCGTGGCGACGCTCCTGGCCTCCTGGTAGGCCACCCGGACGATGTCTGCAGTGCTGGTGTTGAGGAAGAAGTAGCCGGAGCCTTCTCTGATGTGCAGCTCCGCCTGCGAGGAGGGGCCCGCTGGGTGTCGGAGGCGAGGGCCTCACACCCCGTGGGTCACGCCTGGGCGGTGTGGTGGCAGAGCAAGGGCTGTACCTGCACAGCAGGGTGGTTGTAGATGGTCACCTCTTCCGGACTCGCCCGCACGTCCTCCACCAGGATGAGCTCTATGGAGGCCGACACAGGCACGAGAGGGTCGTGCTGCAGGGCAAGGCGAGTGCCGTCAGACCCCGGAGGCGTGGGGCCGACCCCAGGCCAGCCCGTGGGCCTCCCTGGGGAAGAGCAGGACGGAGGTCCCAGCTCTCGGCACTGCTGCAGGGCACTCTCATGTCGGGGACACAGCCCAACGAAACTGTCGGGCTTCAAGCCCAGCTGAGAGGACACGGCCCTTTGCAGCGTCCTGTAATCCCCCCCAAGTGGGTGCCACCACCCCACCTGCCAGGCCCCACATGCTGCACGATGCACACACACCCCGGGAACGTGGGGGCACAAGGCAAACGAGCTGTAGTGCCAGCTGCAGGGACGGAGGCCCTGACCAGCCTGGGGTAGGGGCTGCAGGAGCCACGTCACGGGGGGCTCACAGGAGAGTGAGCACAGCCCTCACTCCTTGCACAGGATTTTGAGTACCTGTCTCCTGCCAACATGGGAGGAGGGAGACCACTTGACCCGCCTGGGCTCTGACCCCCAGACATTCACATGTCCGAGCACTGACTCTGTGCCCTGCACCCTGCGAGGCCCTGGGGACAGCAACTGCCCTCAGGGAGGTGATGCAAACTTAATCTAACGCAGGGTTAGAAAGGAAAAGGAGAGAACGACGGAAGAAAGCAGAGCGCGAGTGTGGGTTAGGAAGGTGACGAGGGTGTGCAAGGGACAG